CCTCAGAAGAATGGAAGGCTGAGTCAACCTTGAATTGGTAAGAATCGAACTACCGAACTGCTTGCAGCCAGCAGTCAGCAGAAGTAGCCTGCAGTACTGCATTCTAACCACTGCGCTACCACAGCTCATAGCAAGCTTAAGAGTGTTATAAAAAATATTTGTTTGGGACAATCCCTAAATTTTATCCTGTCAAATACACCCACAAGAAGATGTTGAATGAATCATGTTATGTCATACTTTCAACAGACAGTAAACTATTCAGAAGACATTCACTCCATGTAAACATTTCATTTTTAAAAAATTCATATTTATATAATTTGGGTTCTCACTTAGTGTTGCTCCCTCCTTTATGGGTGATCTGGTCCCTTTACAAATGTCTGTCTTGCAAAACCACTCAAGAAACAAGCCTTCTAGTCAAACATGGATAGACATCTTGGACAGAACCCAATTTTCCCCCCAAAAAAGACTCTCGTTTCCCTCCTCCCCACCTACCAGAACAGTCTAAAAAATGAAAATGTTTGTTCTTACAGATCAATTTTGATTACAGTTATGGCATCATGATAATCAGAAATAGGAAACTTATTAAAATAATAGAAGCAGTTCTTAGGAGCCTGTGTGCAACCTATGCTCTAGAGCACAGTGTCAAACTTGCCGCATCATATGATATGTTGTAACATATTGCAACTTTTTTTTTCATTGCCAGAACTGGGATGGGCACAGCCTCCATATGATGCAACTGGCCTGCGGGCCGGCAGTTTGACACCTCTGCTCTAGAGTCTCAGATGGAAAAAGAATTAGATACTGAATTTGCTAGAAAAATAATGAAATCTGAGCCACACTGGAATGCCACGTCCTATACAATCCTGGAGGAAAAATGTTGCTTGAGAAGTGGGAACATATATTGAATTTTACATAATGTAGTTTTAGCTATTAAAAGACAAGTCCTATATTTGAATATGGCCTGAATTTAAAGAGTATTAGAGTCCAAATCCCATTTAAAAAGAAAGAATCATTCATACAAACAACAGAGGATTTGAATTTGGCCAAAAAATAGTGATTGGAAAGCTCTTATGGATATTTTATGGAAAAAAGAAATATATAAACTTGTGATTTATGAATTTTATGATTAGAAAGGATAGACAATGGGATTTTATGATTAGAAAGGATAGACAATGGAAAGAAGGAAAATTAGCTATACCCTTAGAAAGAGATAATAAAATGTAAACATATTTGTAACTGCTTTTAAGAAGATTGGAAGCTACTTCTTTATAATTTTTTTTCTTTTCTTCTCTATTTCTTTCTTTATACTTTTTTCAGTAACTTATTACTTTACTTTCTCTACTTTTTTCTTTCAAAATTTGTATTGGTTTTTTTCTTAAAATCTTTAAATAATAATATAATTAGTATTATATAAAATAGCACAGTATAGTGTAGTGTAATCTAGCATAGCATAATATAATAATATCATATAATATCATTAATATAATAATAGCAATAGCAATTGCACTTAGTTTTATATACCACTCCACAGTGCTTTACAGCACTCTTTGAGTGGTTTATAGAGTCAGCATGTTGTCCCCAACAATCTGGGTCCTCATTTTATCAATCTTGGAAGGGGTAGAAGGCTGAATCAATCTTCAGACATTCAGAATCACACTTCTGGCAGTGGGCAGAGTTAGCCTACAATACTGCATTTTAACCACTGCGCCAGTGCAGAAGATTTGGCACAGAAGCTGGGCACGTTGGCCACCTAGACATCATGTTTCCCACTACAGTTACATATATATATATTTATTTACAGTTATTTTAATGTCTTCTGCTTTCATATAAAAGATTATATTTAAATATATGGCCTCTTTTAGTGCATCGGTCATTCTAAGTCTTCCCTATATCCTACTAAGCAAATTCTAGGCCTGCTTAGAATCTAAAAGGTCTTAATGTGGTCTACCTAAGAATAACAGTTTCTTCAAGGCTTCCTTTCACATAGTAAAAACAAAACATTCACTTACATCAAAATGCCTGTTCCATTCTCTTAGGCTCATGTCTCTTCATATTAATAACTATTTAGCCAAAAGCTGGGAATGACTGCCCTCCATATAAAAACATGCATTAGCATGTAGATGCAAAATTTATGTTTCAGCAGAAGCATTCATTATTTGCTCTCATTATTTTGTGGCTTATCAAGAATAATGAATCATCAGACTGAACTGGCTCATACATCAATCTTTATTTGCATAAACTGTATGCTAATAAAGTAATGTAGCTGAACAAGTATGTAAAAGCTTTATGTAAAATAAAGAATTCTGAGATGACAAGAAGCTTCATTCACTGATTATACAAAATTTTCAGTTCTATTATCAGCAAGTTAATGAACTAATATTGTACAGAAAATCTTCCTGCATTTTTAAGCTCTTCTCAGTCAGTTTGATGAAAAAGAATTTGCATTCAAAATCCCTTTCAAAGGAGAAGAGGCAGTTAGTCAAATTCTCATGAGTAATGCATAATGATTTTCAACTAACTTAGTTACTAGGTGCCCAGGGGTATATTTGATGGTCCTGCCTTTCACAGTGCAGTTAACTCTCTAGCAGCCCCTCCTTTCAAATCTCAGGCTTCAGTTAAATCCCAAGGAATAAATTAGAAATGTGCACACTTCTTAAATGATTCAGAAATGTTTTGGATTTTACCTGAGCCAGTCCTTCTCTGCTACTAAAAAAAAAAAAAAAACAACCTTTTCTTCATGATTTTTAAGTGCCTGAAAAAAGATGCTACTAATGCCTATTCATTAAAGTTGTATAACTCTTAAAGCAGCTGCAGTTTAATCCTGGCCTGGTTTAATACATATCTCTAAAATACTGTTGTATTTAAAAGCCAAAGGACTTCCTCACCATCATTTTTGGAATGTGCTCCACCCTAGAGATTTTCAGGTTTCTCCTATTGGACTTTTTTAATTTTGGAATTCTGGAACACACAGGAGACTTCAAAGAGATAAAAAGAGATAAAACAGACACAACAAAACACCTTCTGCATTGTCTAACAATAAGATAGGTTTACAAAGACCACCTATCAAAATTCAAAAGAAACTTTCAAACATTTAAAGTAAGATGGAAAAGCAGAAATTTTCTGACAAAAGATTTTTGCAGCAGCAAAGCATAGCAAAAATAGAATAAAAGAGACAGAGATTTGAAACTGATGGAGAAATCGCTGTTGAAGAAACCCATCTGAAGAAAACCAGGCTAAAGAGGGAAGAATCTCAAGTGACCATATCATCTAAACCCGGGGATTCATTTCTCCAATTTGTATCACCATAGGTGTGTGTATGTGGGGGGGGGGAGAAATAATGAAATGAGTGCTGTGATGTCACAATGCAAGTTCTACCTCTTTCTGTATGTATCTGTGGAGATCCCATGTCAGATTTTGCTTGCTAACAACAAATAGGACACTCCATGCCACACATTTTCATTTATCAGTCTATTTCATCCTGCTTTAGCATGTATTTGCTCTTTTTAAAATTAAAATCATTAAAAAATGAAACAAAACAGGCATTCTACAAGTGAGTATATGGGGAATGGTGCTTCCCTTAAGGTAGATATTTATCCTGACATATATTTTAAACATCCCTGGTACCATTTTCTAAGCCATGAAACTGCCACATGTGGAAAAGCAAAAAAAAAAATCCAAAGTTTGTGTATAAACCAGCAATGTCTATAAAAATCACTCTATAGTGTAATTCATAAAGATCAAATTGTTGGGCTAATATATCAGAAACTCAAATTTATTTATTCATATTTAGAATACATTCTATTGAAGATTTTTTATTCATTCATTCAATTTATGCTGCAGCTTTTAAAGATATCTCTTATTTTTGCTTGTCTTCAACATTAAGTGGTGCCCTTTTTTCTTTAAAGCAGCCTGCTCTGATCCTACACTGGTATGTTGGCCTACATATCCTTAATCAAGAACATGTCAACCATCCCACTCGGTCAGCTAGCAAACAAAGACTCATGGTCATTTGTTTTGCCAAGTGTATATTTGACTGAAGCTTAAATGGTTACAGAAGTAGCATAAGCTGAATCTGAAGTTTTCTGGTGCAACTAGCACAAAGTTCCTCCCCCCCCCCCAGTCATCTACAAATGTCCAATCAGGTGCTTGTATATTGTTCAGGAAACAGATGCTTGATTCTCAGTTCTACATATCGTTACTTGACTTTGACTGACTGGAACTTCTCACATGGCTCAGCTGGGCTTCCACCCCCCCCCCTTTCCTTACATTCCAATCTTTCCCTTTCCCTCCCTCCCCATGCTAATGTCAGGCTGTCAGCTCATGATGCTTGGATAGGTGAGATACAGCCATGAGAGAACCACTTTCAATTGTAAACTATTAAGAATTTTATGAACAAAGCAGCAAACAAATAATTCTCACTGGGTTGCTTAATGTTAATGCAGATCAGTTATCTCAATATAGGAAGAAATTACAAACTATTTTTTAAAAGTGCCATAGCATATAACACAAAGTGAATAATTCCATAAGCAATTTGATATGACCTGACATAAAACTCACTTTTCAGGTGTGGATTGCTCAGACATTCAACTGTAAGTCATCAAGTGAAGTTGATTTGCATAATTGTATTTCTCTTTTTTATTTTATTATGTATTATTTATTTTGGAGTTGTTAAATAGCTCAAAGTTGTCTTCCCTTTAGGCACTGCTTAAAATAAAAAGAGGACTCCATTAGATACCTCCAGTTATTGGATTCAATATTCCTAAATTATTGTAGTAAAAACTTTTCTCCAGGATGGCAGCTCTTAGCATCATTTGCTATATTTCACATACATACACCATTAAAACTATATCAATACATTCATGGCAACAAGTAATAATAAATGTGAATTTACTACAATGGTAAATGTTGGTCATTGATGCATATGTTGTGTTGTTTCCATATAATCAGGTCAGAATTCAATGCAAAAATATTGTGGTGTTTTGTTTTGTTTTGTTTCTCCTAGCCAAAATTCTGTCTCATGCCAAGAAAGAATATCAAGGAAATTGAAAGTGCTGAATACAATTTCAGAGAAATATGTTACCTGAAATTTCAGAGACCTGCTACCACACATATCGGTATATGAAAATCAGTTTTCCATTTTGTGGTTAAACAGATTTCAGGCTCGTCAACTGATTTATTTATAAGCACTTCATGGAATTAAATTGAAGCTTTGGACATTGACAGTGGAATAGAATGTGCTGTTCTAATATGGGATAATGCCTCCCCTGGGCACAGGTCAATGCTTTATAAATGATTTTAGCAGAAGCATATTCTCATTTTCTTCAGGCACATCTTTCTATTCAAGTGCCTAGATCTGTAGCCCATTTTGATTAAATGTCCACAAGAATTGCTCCTGGAGGATTGCAACCTGTATTTTCCAAGTAGAAGAACTTTGAGAAATGTGCCAGATTTTTTTGTCTTTAAATACACCATTTTTCATAGAAGCTGTGTACTTCTCAGTACTATTAAGTCCTAATCCACATAAAACAGCCAATCATTTGGAGGCCCACCTAATAATCCCTCCTCTTATTTTCCCCACAACAATCCTGTGAGATGCGTTGGGCTGAGAGTGACAGGCCCAAGGTTACTGAACTGGCTTTTATGACTAAGGCAGAATTAGAACTCAGAACTCAAACTTTGATTAACCCTAGCCTTGACCAAACTGGCTACTGTAATCTGCTTCTATGGTTTAGTAACTGACTTACATGACACAACAGACATTCTCTTTTGGAAGAATCTACCTTCTCCAAACAGGTGAGGGTAATCTTCATGGCTTTCCATCATCCTCAGTCTTTTCCTCATCATTGTATTCTTTTTATTATTAATACCTTTACATCATCTGGACTGCCTTTGGACTGAGGCTGTAGATAAATCCCATAAATAACTAAAATCAGTATACACACATTCAGAAACAACCAAAGTGATTCATTATTTTCTTGCACGGGAAATAGTCATGCTCCATGAAGCAAGAAATCTGCCATCTGTTGCCTGAAGGTCTACCTTTGTATTCACTTTTTCATCTGTTTTGCTTGTACTTCAGTATAACAGCTATTTCCATCTCCTGTGTTTGCATTGCCAGAGTGGTGCACCTGCTAATACTTCCACATCTCCACTAGTGAATCCAGAAAATCATGTCTCCTGAAATAAATATGCTGCTCCTTTATTCAGCTTGTTGAAATGATTTATGACTGAAGGATAAAAGAGTAACAACAAAATGAAGAAATACTATAGAAGCCCCAGGAAACAGTAAAAGCTTCACACTGGCAGGGTACGGTATATTAAATTTATATACTATAGTTTGTTGTTTAAACAGCCTTTGAAAATGGAACATGACATAATGACTTGAGATCCATTAGAAATTGATGGCTGTCTGCAGAAAATAGAAATATACATATAGTAATTTTAGCATATAATTCAATTGTATTTTACTGTACTCTACCTCATGCTGCATGGGAATGATGGAATTTGTGATTCATCAGCATCTGGAGGGCCATGGCTTAATGTTTGTGTATCCATGCAATAAGAAATCACATCTACTACTACTGATTTATTGTGAAGTAAACTAAGTTATGTAAATGTCAAAAAACTTTTAGCTATTGCCAGAAAGAATTAGCAATGATCAAAGAATAATGTAGCCCTGAATTAGCAAGTTATTCAGTTTATTGAACTCCATGACAACAGCTTCAGCATTTTTATTTTAGAATTCTTATTTTATGCACAACATCTGGTGTCACCAGAATATACAACTGCTTTTATCCCAATGGCCTTAGTTAAAGTTAGATATGCCCAATGCATACTCCCAAAAGCGGATGGGTCAGAAGAGAAGCAGGAAGATTAAAACTACAGAATGTATACTTTAATAAAATAAAACTCAGTTTGGAAACAACTTTGGGGAGAGTTGTAGCAGCTTATCCAAAGCTGGGAAGATCTGCCTTCAATATAAATTTCCAGGATCTGAGTTGTCAAGATACTTTATATTTTTTTTCATCAGATATACCGGTAGTGCTAAACTTAAAAAAGCAATAAACCCTGTTTATTGAAACTTCTATAATGAACATATTCTTCGTGAGAGAACCAGAATTGGACAGAGAATCTCATTATATCAGATCCCATGCTGTGCATGTAGAAAAACAGCTTCAGTCATCTTTAGCTAAAGAAAATATTCAAGGTCAGACTTCATAAAGATTTCTTCCTGAGATTTTGGTGAACTGCCCTTAGTTTGAAGACATCCTTGAGTAAAATGATCAACAATCTGAATCGAGCCTTTCTGACAGCTCCCTCCAACCTTCCCTATGGAAGTCAGATTAATATATAGAGTAATCCTATGCAAAAAAAATTTCCTGCATATTTTTTCCCAGTTCCTACTCGGTGTTCTAAGAAAGCATTTGCTTTCTTCTTTTTCAAAGAAGAAGAGAACTTCAGAAAAATCTTCATGTCAGAGTAAATACATCTATGTATTTAAATACATCTATGTATTTAATTTAATTAAGTACAGGTATGTGTTTGTGTGTGAATATCCTATTCTTCACTATAAAATGAGGTTAGTGGTGATCTGTAGGCCCCTTGATTTATCACTCTGCCTTTAAATCTCAAAGCAAGCCATGAGACACTGGCCCATCCTTACAATTAGGAGTGTTAAGCTCACCAAAGAAATATTAAGTAAATTTCTTCTTCCCCTGGAAAATCTGCCCACTCAATTTCATTCCCACAAATTTGGTGGAGAATTTGGAAATGGTGTTTCTACCTAGTGTTGAAGTGGCACCAGAAATGTATTCTGAAACATAGCATCATCACTAGCCCAATATTGTCTAGACTGATTGGTAGCAGCACTCAGGAATCCAAGGTTTTCTCCAGTCCTACTAAAGATGCCAGGCACTGATCCTGCAACCTTTCCCAAGTATTATCATTGAGATATAGTGCAAGAGACTGACACATTCTTGGTCGCATTTCTCTGGATGCCGAGAACTCAGGCAATTGTTGCACTACAGAATGTTTGCACTGAAAATAGAGAATTATATTTAGCATTTAATAATAATCCTGACATTGTTTTAATAGAAATATTTTTTAAGAAAGAAGAAAAGCCCTCGATTGCAGATGGCAAACCTAATCTACTTGATTATGAGATTCCAACCACATTGTTAATTGCCAAGAGTTTCATGGCTGCCATTAAAATAAATGAGCTAGGTTTTTGCAATGCTTGTCTTTCGAAAAGCAGAGTTACCCTATTATCTTATAGTAAACAGTAGACTGTTACAGAGCAGACATATAATTAAGGCAATAGATATTTTAAAAGGGGAGGAAAAATGCCCAGAGAATCTCTTGTTTTCTACCCACTATTCTCCCACAACTGAATTATCTGTCAGACAATCTGATAGACTGTGCAACACATAGTCAGACCCTCAGATTAACAGGGCTGAAAACAGTCTGGCCTTTCAAACAGAAGTCTGCCATTAAAAGACTCAGTGCTTTTTGCACATTAAGGTTAAATTAAATGACTTGAAATAAAATTACTCTTTAGATATAAGCTTTCCCAGAACTGCACCATCCATTCATCATCTGAATGGTAACTCTGCTGCAAAATAGATTAGTTGTTCGTGATTTCAAAGTACAGAGACATGGTTATATTAGTGACAATAGATTTCAATACTAACAACCAAGGAAAGAGATTGTCTAAAATACATATTGCTTTTACCTGTTGCAATAGTTTTGGGAAAGAAACATGTGGACCTTAGCTATCTCCAGGCATGCTTCTTTGGTGCTATATAAAAGAAAGAAAAAATAGATTTAAAAGAGTGGCATTAATCAGTGCATAAACATTATTGAGAAATATAATTTTTATAGGTTACTGGAATTTATGTACCATAATACACAAGAAAATATTAAAAGATCTGAGGTGATGAAAATTAAAAATACCAGATTCTTTGCATTTTGATTTAATTCCCAGGTATTTATCTGTTTCTTTATCATTTCAGTTTCTATAGCCTCCCATTTGTGTAAACCACTAAGCAGCATATAAAGACTGAAATTACTGTAAGTGAAAAAGGGAGAAGGAAAATAGTATGCTGAAGATGAAAAGTGAATCTGGCCTGGACCTGCAAGCTGTGGCAATAAGGCAGATACCAAACCACAGGATGTTTTTAGGAATTCTGACCCTGGCTTAATCCATACATTTTGGTAAGTCAAAACAAAAACTGATTGTGGCTTAGTGCAATGTATGAACTCTGAAGTTAAAAAAAAAAGTGTCTAGATGGCAGGTCTTATATAAAGGAACAGAAATATGAATGCAAATTAGGTTTGCTAAAGCCTTTTGAAACCAATACTTATTCCATAATTACATGACAGAGATGATCATAGTATCCCTAAGGCTTGTAATACAAAAGTAGGTGTTGTTTGGGTTGGCTAATCTCTCCTTGGCAGTATACCAGGTGTACAAGCTGATGTGTTGCTGGAATCCTTGGAATAGCTAGAGATGAGAAATATATTTATTTATACTTATTATATACATATGATAAACAAACTGTTTTGTTCTAACTTGTTTGTCTTGATTTGGTCCAATTACTTTGTGTATTGCATTAACCGGTTTCAGTGCTTTGGATGTTATGGTTTATGCTTAATGGGATGTGTGATCTCAACTATTGTTGCTTATTCAATGAACCATGGTTAATGCAAATAACACCTTAGCATGAAAGGTGAACCTTTCTTGTATCCCAGGTTGAGCAGGCAGCTTATTTTGCAGCCTGATCTTACGCAAATTAAATGAGGTTTTCAGACCAGATTCCTGAATTTACTTCATTAGTTATTAAGATAATGATCCACAGAAACTGTTATGTCCCGAGCCTTGCAAACGGCTCGGGCGTTTGCAGGCAGTCCCGGGCAGGTGCAAAGCTGCCCGGGACCAGACAGGCTGTCGCCAGCGCCGTGCGCATGCGCGGGTGCTGGCGCGGGAAAAGTAACCCATTTACCCGGGAGTTGCCTATATAAGAGGCTGCGAGGCGTTTGGGCGAGGCTGAAGCCATCTTCCTGTAAGCTGAACGCTGAATAAAAGAAACTGAGAACTCCAGCTGCTTCTCGTGTCTGTTTTCCCGCCACGGACTCAACACTGGCGACGAAGGTGGGATGCCTTGCACTACCTGGAAAGGAAGAAGTGTAAGCTTACCCAAGGAGTCCTGAGCGGCGGAAGAGGAACGGCGTCGACTCGGCAGCTGCCCGCCAATCCGGTGCGCATTCGGGGGTAGGCTGGCTGATAGACCCGTCTCCTGAAGATCCGAAGATGGCGAAAATCGGAAGGCTTTCGGAATTCGACGTCTCACATCCAGAGCGGTGGGAGTCCTACGTATCCAGAATGGAGAACTACTTCAAGGCAAACCAAGTGAGGGAAGATAGCTTGAAGGCTGCCACCCTGCTTTGCGTTTGCGGCCAAGACGCCTTCGAAATCGCAGAAAACCTTGCAGCACCTGTCCCAGTAGAGTCTGTAAGCTACGCAGACCTGAAGAAGCTGCTGAAGGAGCACTTCCACCCCAAGGTGTCCGTTATCTCATGGCGCCACACCTTCGAACAGAGGGATCAACGGTCCGGTGAGTCAGCCAAGGAATACATCGCCGCGTTACGGAAGGCCGCCAAGCCCTGCGAGTTCAAGGACCTCGAGGAATGACTGAGGGACTGATTCGTGTGCGGGTTAAGGCATCGAGAGTTACAACAGAGACTTTTCGCTAAGGAAGAATTATCCTTCCAAGACGCCTTAAGGGAAGTCACCGCAGAAGAAGCAGCAAGCGGCGCCGTCAAGAACATGCGGCCGATCAGAAGCAGTGCAGAGGGTGCGTCCGTGCACCAGGAAGACGTCCGACGAAACTCCGAGGAGGATCCGGACGAAGAAGTCGACCGTCTACACCCCGCGAAGGAAGAGAACCAGAAGGGAAGCTCTTCGGCTCCGCTCGAGTGCCTCGGCTGTGGAGGTCGCCACAGGAGAACCGACTGCAAGTTCCGCTCCGCTACCTGCCGGGCATGCGGCAAACAAGGGCACAATAGAGAGAACAGGCTCACGCCTCCCTCCAGTCAGGGGACTTATGCCAGTAACCCAGAGCTAAGAAGATCACAGAGAGCAAAGAAATCTCCTAAGTACCTAGAAGATTACATAACATTGCTGGCAAGGCAAAAGCCAGTAAACAGTGGGAGCACTGGGGAGCAAATTGTCATATAAAATAAATGTTGTATGTTGGTAGTAGTTTTAGCCCGGGGGAAAGGGGTGTTATGTCCCGAGCCTTGCAAACGGCTCGGGCGTTTGCAGGCAGTCCCGGGCAGGTGCAAAGCTGCCCGGGACCAGACAGGCTGTCGCCAGCGCCGTGCGCATGCGCGGGTGCTGGCGCGGGAAAAGTAACCCATTTACCCGGGAGTTGCCTATATAAGAGGCTGCGAGGCGTTTGGGCGAGGCTGAAGCCATCTTCCTGTAAGCTGAACGCTGAATAAAAGAAACTGAGAACTCCAGCTGCTTCTTGTGTCTGTTTTCCCGCCACGGACTCAACAGAAACCAAGGTAGGACATTTCTTTCTGCTATGGTTTCTCAAACTTTCCCAAAATGTTGGTATGCCAAAACTGAGATAAGAGAGGACCAAGAAATTATTTCTGAAGTTAGAACTCAAAATATCCTGAATGAGGGCTGTTCGTCTCAGGATTCTGTGCTAAAGATTTTTTTAAAAAAAATTCAAGCCTACCCTAAACTGTTTTGTTTTTTTTTTCAGTGTTCTGGAAATGAAGTTTTCAGAATTTCCTCTACCATGCCTTTAATAGTTCTAACAAGGATAGATGATGTACCATTCTAGAAATTCTAACAGTGGAACAATATAAACCCTGCTAGTTGTTTGCATTGTTATAATTTCCAAATTATTCCAGAGTTAATTGTATTAACAACTTACTAACAAATTCTGTTAGGTTGGTCTTGGAACTCTCTTGGGAAATAGAGTTAGAAGTTGCTGTGCTTGAGCTGGGAAATCAAGTAGAATGTACTGTTTCCACAATACCTCTGATTAATAGCTAGAATTATCCCAAGAAGTCAGGGGAAGTCAAAGTAAAATAATCAGAGAATTTTCCTTCCAGAGAATCATATTTAAGAAGCAATAAATAACCAAGTTTAGTCAGGACAGTGCATCGGAATTTTGATCTTCATTTACCTCCGTGGGATAGTTAAATCTTATCCTTATCCTTATTTCTCTGTACAAATAAGGCATTATGTGTAATAGTGGCTGTGGCCAGGGAGTTTTATTAACTTCTCATTAACTTCTAATAAGCTGGAATTTAGTTTGGAAGAGTAAATCCTGTCCTGGTTCATTAATTATAGCAGACCAGCTTCATCTTGTGTTCTGTTGAGAAACTTGTATGTATTTTTGTAAATCAGGGGGTTTTTTTAGATCATATACTGCGTTTCCCCGAAAGTAAGGCCCTAGCTTGATTTTTGGGGGTGGGCCTAATATAAGTCCTGCCTCAAAAATAAGCCCTAGTTTTGGGGCGAGGCACAGATCTAAAAATCAAGCTAGGAGGGGTGGGAGTGTGGAGCTCCCCACATGCTCCGCACCCACTTATCTCACAGCCCACTTCTTCTATGACGTCTTCTGCAGCCAGGCCTGCATTTCTCAGTCATAGGCCTTTCTGGAAGCCTCTGCAGACAAGAACCAACCTATGGATTCAATCTATAGCTCAGTTCTGCAAGGCCTCTGTAGCCAAGGACCGAGCTATGTATTGAATCTATATCTCTGTACTTGCTGCAGTGGCCTTCCAGAAAGGCCTGACTGCAAAATGCAGGCTGGAATGCAGCTGCAGAATGATTCTGCTCCTTTGGCTCCAGAAGAATTGGATGGCTCAGCAGAGCTGTCAGTGCTGGAGGTGAGTATAAAAGACATCCTCCGAAAATAAGACCTGATGCCTCTTTTGGGACAAAAAAAATAAGACCAGGTCTTATTTTCAGAGAAACACAGTAATTTAGATTCCTTTTATAAGAAATAAAGTTTGATTTTGTTTATGTTTTGTGAGATGTGAGAGGGAAGTCATAAAATGTCTAGATATACTCCTGTATGCTACAGGGCAAGGAGATTCTTACTACAGGTAATCCTCAATTTATGGTGTCAAAGTTCCGACTAATGGAACACTGTTAATATAAAACGCTGTTAATATAGGATATTATTGCTTTGACATATGGCCACAATTGGGATTGGAATTTTGGTCGCTAAGCAATTAAGTCATTAAATGAGTCATCACATGATCAGACCTGATTTTTATAACCATTTTTATCATGGTTGTTAAGTGATTTATGGGTTGTTAATGTTAATTGGCTTCCCCAATTGATTTTGCTTGCCAGAAACCAACTGAGAAGGTTACAAAATGTGATGATGTGACTGCAAGATGCTGCAACTATAATAAATGCATGTCAGTTGCCAAGCACTTGAATTACAACCGTGTTACCTCAGAAGTGGTTCAACAGTCATAATTTTGGGGCAGGTCATCAGTCACTTTTTTCAAGGCTGTTGAAATTTTGAACTGTCATTAAACAATGGTTGTAAATTGAGGACAACCTGTATTCCCCCCATTTAATACATTGGAATAGCAGTATAAGTTGGAGGAACCATATCTGTGCCACACATAAGTGTTAGTGGAAAGATGTCAGGTGAGATACTCTCTGAAAAGAGGTAGTAGCAGCAGTAACTTTGATGGCAAGGCAAAATACCAAGAAGCCACACATAGTAGAAAATAGGGCCAGAGTGGGAAGACTTAATGGGCTTGGGAAAAAAAGAGATTTAAAACCTGCAGCTTTTAACTCTCATTCATACTTGTGTTTTTTTAAAAAATGCAGAAATTCATTACTTTTGTCTACATCTTAATTCAAAATATACATTTTGCATGAATTTTAATGCACTATGCATTTTAATATTGTGAATACTACCACAAAGCTCAATTAAGTGGGGAAAAATGAATGAATGAATTCTGGTTTATTTTTAATCCAAAAATATGAATCATGTTAGTTCATTTAGGAGTGGACCATATAAAATATCTAACTGTTCCTGAAAGAGATACTACCTCACACATAGAAAATCCAGCTTTCATATAATGCTAGCCACTGAGGGTACCTTAAAAGTATTTATACTATAAATCTCACCCAGCCTCCCACAAAATATATTAGCATGATTATG